GAACAATGGAGCGCTAATGACGGTGGAGGCCTTCACCGGATATCAATTAGAAAAGAGTTAATTGATCTGCACATCTCCGGAACCGTGCATCCTACGCAAAAATGGACCGCAGATTCGTGATCAGAGCATGCCAAAACCTTTTTGTTTTTTTTTTAGGGTCGTGAGTCGACGAACGTCGTACTTGTACCACTTCTGACTCAGTGAGCCAGAACTGGTACAACGTAACTACTACCATTAAAACTCATTGCAAATTAAAAATCATTGCAAATTAAAAATCTCTACAGTTCATTAAATAATAAAGCTGAGAACAAATTATCGGACGTGTCCGTCAGCCGCGGCTGACTGACGCGGCTTAGCGGTGTGCACGGTAGTCGAGACGGCGTCTTCGGACCCCTCGCTTCGGTCATTCCATAAAGGTTTGTCAATCGAGAAACATGATAAGCAGCGGCAGCGAGGATGAATCTATAAAGTTAGCGGCAGCTGTTTTATGTTGTCCTAAAAAAAAATGTGAAGGGATTGTTTGGGTCCATGATATTAATGTAAAACGACTCGAGTAGTTTGATTTTCATACATTGTATCCAGACTTACAAAAAGATGATAAACGTTACAAAATGTACTTACGAATTATTTAATTTATAATGCTGCAGTTTGTGGTTATATAGGCATTCGTGGCCATGAACACATTCAATTAATTTTTCTTCATCACACATAATGTCGCGAGCGCAGTTGGTTCGCTTGTGACACTCGAAACGTCCGTGGACGCGTCCCATACCCCGTTCACACTGTCCGCGGACGCACAAACATCCAGCCGGCCAGATTCTATTCGGACGTCCGAACGCTCAAGAGCGACGCAAGGTCATCTCCGCGTCTTACGACCGATAGTTTCCACAGTGTAGTATTAAATGTACTGGCTAGATTTCAATAAGCCGCGTCAGTCAGCCGCTGCTGACGGACGCGTCCGATAATTTGTTCTCAGCTTTAAAAAGGCCGAGTGCACTGGTCGATGTCGCTCTTGTGTCTGTGAATGAACAGACTGTACGCATTCACGTTCCGGCATGTCAGTGCTCGCGCAGACAAAATGAGATGCGCGGACGTTCAACGGGTGAATCTGCCAGACCGACTGCGACGGTCCGCACAGACCTATAGTAGCGAAGGCCGGCCGCCATGTCTGCAGACATGCCCGTGGGCAAGTCCGTCTAGTGAATTTCCACTAGTGCTTTAATTAAGGATAAATATAGATGTTTATGAGTCAAAGCATCCACTTACCATCAGGTGGACTGTGTGCTCGTTTGTCACACTTATAGATACGATAAAAAGGCCAATGCTTAAAATTTTAGTAGATGAGAATAAAATTACAAAGAAATATCACACACAGGTTTCAGATTTGGATATTAGTTTTATATTATAAATTTAAGCTACTCCAAATTTCAACGTAAGTTACTCGTAGTTCCATGGATTTAATAATCATGCTCATTACAACACCCTACAACTATGTGCAGCCACAGCTCAGCTTTATACGCGATACAGTCACGCTGCAGCTATATTATGGTTGAAGCACGAATGGGTCGGCTCGACCGGGAAGGACCACGCTCTCACAGAATACCAAAGTAAAATAGCAGCTTAATGCTGCTCTGTTTCGTATGGTGAGTGTAGAGAACCGGAGACCCATTTTACTGGAATCGAAGCATTCCATCTTAGTCCTCAGGGGTAACATCGCATTTGCATTTTAATTCATCGAGGTTATATGTAGATGTATATGAGCATTCACTTACCATCAGGTGGACTGTGTGCTCGTTTGTAACCCTTATTCTATTAAAAAAATATGGCTCAGATCTTCATAATATATCTACTAGTTGTTAATAAAACAGAAAATCAGAAAGCGGAAGGAAAAAAAACCACCACAAAAGAACACGTATCTATTTATTTACACTAATCGATATTCACATGATTTGCAGAAGCACACGTCGAGTGCTGCTAGCATAAACTTTACATCTATTAAGTAACTGCAAGTATAGTAGGAACAATACGTTTTTCAATAAATATTTTGTCACATTCAAGCAAAATATGAATTTTCATAAATTTGTTTCACATCGTAGATCAGGTGTATTATTTCTGTTTGTTTTACTGACTTGAAATTAAAAAAAGTGAACGTTTGAACGTAATAACATAAGTGAGGAAGTAGAGAGTGCACTTGTGTAGTGAGCAGCCTGTCTCATCAGAGCAAGCGCTCTGTTGAGACAGGCCGCTGTGACCGAAATTCGGCTGGAGGACATTATTATTATATAGTTGAATGACCTGCAATTGTTACATTAATAATTCAAATGTAAGCATCATTAATTCAGGCTAATGGTTTGAGGATGTATTAAACATTCTATATTAGTGTAATTATTTGCTTTTACTGCAATATATGGCAATACAGGTGAAATCGAATGTGTCAAAATTTATTGCACAGATAAGTTTAAGGTTTTTGTGTTTTGTAAGAGTTAGTCTGAACTGATATAGATAATATTTAAAAATTAGAATTTTTTATCGTAAAGTCCGGTGCCGGATCAAAAGAATCATCTCATTTTGTTGTTCAGTGGATGTTGTACGAGGCGACCAGAAATGTATCATGGCTTCCGTATCTGATATAAAATACTTAAGCCAGTAAAAGGAAGCATGGTCAAAAGTGTCTTTGTCCACAATCCGCCAGCCAAGCGTGAAGATTGGAGCAAATCTTCCCTACCATGGAAGAGGCCTACTTCCAGCAATGGACTTTTAAAGACTGATAGAAAACAGGCCATAGATTTTTGATGAAATGGAAACTTGGTTATAGAACCTTGGCAATAAATGTGAAACTTAGTTAAAAATTATAAATTAAACTTACAACGAATAGTATATTCGGCCCTACGAGTTCGTAGATTCGGTCACACGCCGAATACAGAATATTCTGCGGGCTCCATGGCCGAATAGTCGAATATTACCTAGGCAAAAGTATTCGGCCGGAAAGGAAGTAGTGTTATTTAGAATGTCTTTTCTCGGAAGCTGGGTTTGTCTACGAGCAAAAGATGAGTTTTTCTGCACCATAATCTTCCACTTTAATTAATATAATTAAGTTTTTAACATTTATCTGACAGTTTTTTTTATAATACAGAAGTTGATTATGTACCAAACATGTAAATAGACATACTTTAATGATTACAAGAAAAGTACATTATTATAACATAAATCAATATTTTTATTTTACCAATCATTTGACTACAATAAATCGTCTTGCCGAATATTCGTCGCAAGTCTATTATAGATACAAATTTCAAAAAAGGTTTAAATAAAGTTGCTAGCTTTAGTTATCAAGTTTTACTGTAAGAATGAAAAGAGCATTAGCGTTTCTTTGATTTCATATTATTATTATTTATTTTATCTGATAATCTGATTTGAAATAATGGTAATTTGAAAGTTTATCTTGACAGCTTATTGAAGCGACGAATGGGTTCGTACTTCTTTCTTTTCATAATGTATGCTGACACTCAGAAAAAAATCAGATGCGTTATCACTAATAATTTTTTTAAAAACGGGTACAATTACTGACTTCGCCTGGGATTCGAACAAGGGTCTACAATTTATTGACCAAGTTTTTTTATAAAACAATGCGATTTATATTTTCGATATGACTCATTGAATAGGTACTAAATATACCTATCAGTTCAGACCACCTTCACATAAATAAAAAAATACTTATGATGAAAAAAAGAATTTATTTGGAACGGCTGGCAACTTTTAGATCCTTAAATAAAAACTACAAAAGAAAATTTAAAAAAAAAACTCGAATTCGAATTCTCAACTTGATAAAAAATAAACAAATTTTAATACGGCGCAGTAAGTTACTCTTTTTGAATCTGATAAATGGAATGTGACAAAGCCGCCCAAATCTATCAAAGGTAAGTAATTAAATATTATCATTATATGTAGTGACTGACATTTTTTATAAAATTATATTAAAAAAGTTTTGGTAAACAAAAAGTAAGTACGGGTTCAATTTACTGCGGAATTAATATGACCGATTTTAGAATTGTGTAAAAGTTTAACTGACATTGACATTAAAATTACTGTTACTAATTTTTAATTAGTGTTCGTTCTTACTAATTGAAAAATAGTGTAAACGATATCCAATGCATTAGCATCTTTTGTTTTACTTAAATCTATATTAAAATATTCTAACACTAAGCGATCTAACTATACAATTACAATATTTACAACGTAACTCGAGAATTAGCAATATCACTGATAGTCAAAAGTATTTATATTGCACTGCGCGGTAAACTATTAGCTTTTAATAACTGTTAGATAATCGTTTATATTACTTATTACTAGACTTTAACATTTTAGCATTTTATGTATCAGTGACAGTGCTATCGAAATAAATAATTTAGAAATATCTCTATAAACATTAAGTACTTAAATAATAAAATCAACTATCACATTTATTTATATTTTAAAAGAAGAATCTTCATAATATATTTTTGTACAAACAGACGTCGTATTTACAAGTTTAATTAAAAATAGCACTTAGAAGTGCTAAATTTTACTTCGTTAATTTTACTTTTTAAATACGCTAATTATGTATACCTATTAAATATGCTATAAATAGTGAAGTACAACGCGATCCTAGTTTATTGAAGATGAAAATATCTAACATGGTTATCGATCGTTTCGAAAGACAATATAATTTTAAGAATTTTCTTCTATAATATATGTTTAAGATATACTATTTTAACATCAAGTTGATTAAAGGAGATTTTATTTTTATACAGTTTAGTTAATTTTGATGATCATCTCCATTTTATCTTAGTCGTTCAAGTAGCTACAGCCAGTAGTTTTTAAGTTTTAACGCCCCTTTAGACTTTTGTTTTGTCTGTGAATAATTGAATACTATCCAAGAAACAGTCTCATGCAGCGATTTAAAAATCGAGCACGCTTCGATCGTAGCTGACGTCGGGCGCGATCGAGCGCGCTACCTCGTTTCATTTGGACGCGTTCACGACTAAATTAGTCGCGGCCTCTTCGCTCGCACCTATGCTCATCGCCTTCTTTTTTAGTATCCCCAAATCTGTCACGTTCTCCAAGAAGGTTTTATGCGCTGAAAGGACTTTAGCGCTTTCGACATCTTTTTTTAATTCCTCCATATCGCGCTTCAACTTCGCTCGCCTATTTTGGAACCATGTAATTACTTGTGCGTTAGAGAGACCAAGAGAACTGGCAATTTCATCCCTATCTGCTGGTGATAGATACTTTTGATAGAGAAAACGTTTCTCAAGTTCGAAAATTTGGTGGTTTGTGAACGCAGTCCTGGATTTTCGTTTCTTTTTTGGTTGAGGCCTCGAGTTAAACAGGTTAAGGTGATTGGACTGACCATCTGAAACAAAAGGAAAAGTTTTGTTAGTGAAACATTTTACGTTCCTGACATAAAGTAATTCTTAACTGGTAGAGCAACGCTGCAGCTATATTATATTTGCAGCACGAATGGGTCCCCTCGATCGGGGAAGGACCACGCTCTCACAGAATACCAGCGAAAAATAGCAGCTTAATGCTGCTGTGTTTCGTATGGTGAGTGTAGAGAACCGGAGACCATTTTTACTGGTAAAGGATGCCCCGTTACCAGTAAAATGTTCACCTTAGTCCTCAGGGGTGACAAAGCATCTGCATTTTGATTTTAAATCGAGGACCGCCGAGGGAGATGTAGATGTTTATTGACCACGGCATCCACTTACCATCAGGTGAACTTTGTCCTCGTTTGCCCTTATTCTATAAAAAAAAATAACATTATATTTCTATTCATTTTATTATCGCTTTGTGGGTACTACCTAATACTTTAAATTATAAACTACATGCTTGTGCATGTAATGCGTACATGATACGGAGCAGTACAGTACATGTCATATGGAGCACGTAACATAGATATATAGTCTAAAAATAATACATAATAAAAATAAAGATGTTGGTATGTTTAATTTAATAAGGTAATAGGTATGTGTGAAATATTTTTCTTCGTCAACAGAAGCATCAAATCGTTACAGTGATATACATCAACTGCATCTATTAGCCTGGTGTATAGATAGAAAAGTAGAAACCGACTTTCGACTCGTTATCAGGTACTAAAAGAGTATTCGAGTCTATGACACCGTAATAAAGAGCCCGCAGCGCTAAAATGTAACACTCCTGTCATAAAATATACAATAAAAACACACCCCGGAATCGTAACATTTTAACGAGCATTCAATAATATACGGGCCGTTTTAAAAAGCTTTCCAGAAAGAAAATAATCGTTGCAAACATTGTATAAAATGAGTATGTTACCATAATGATAATTGTCCATATACAGTAATCTACGTAATTAGTTTTATCTGATTACGTTAATAGTCTATTTTGATTTAATGTCTATGTCATGGAGGTGTTCTCTAACCTCCATGGTCTATGTGTAACGACGGAAATTGATTATACATAAAATTACAATAGCGCTATCCGTAAATGACTGTCAAGAACAAAATATTGCTCCACTTTCTATTTAAAATCGTGTAACTCTTAATTGTTTTTGAAATTAACTTGTTAATGTTTCAGTTTATGGTTTTATGTTAATGGGTACGGACTTTGCGTAACTGAAACGTTTTTATTGTTTTTCTTTGCGATAAGAAAATGTTTGAAGTAATAAGTTTCCCATTCATTATGGTATTAATAATTTAATAGATTGTTATTTTACTTTTAAAAAATCAGAGAATATTTACGAAGCTTTGATAAATTAATTTATATATTTAAAAGAGCAATCAATACATATTTATATAAAATTATCTATATAATTTTCTAAAGTCTTTTATTAAGGGGATATAGTAAGTAAGCTCAAATTCTAATTTCGCCCCCACTTCCCCGCGCGTCGCGTTCGTAAATTTAAATATAACAATATAACAAATTTACAAAAATACATATAAAGTGAAGAACATTCACAGTATTGGATTTCCTAAAATGCATATAAATATATCACTAACATACTTATCTAAGTTTTCTATCGAAATAATACCCTATAGGATGTGGAAATTTCAACATGTGAATGTTCTTTCAGAGTCATTAAAGGTCTATCGTTAGACTTAAATCTATGAGTTTCAGACTCGTTTCAGGCAGTCCCACAGATTTATATTCAAAAGCACCAACCATCATTCAATAAATGCAATATCTGTACAAAAAATTTCAGCCATTCTACCGCTATATGGTATAACACTCCATTCCATATATATCTACCAAAATAGTTCAAAATTCACAATATCCTTGACCACCATTTATATTGAACCAGGTCTACCACACAAAGTCCTAATTAACATATTGTAAAACAATATTGAAAGTAACTCGTCAGATCTTTAATTTTGTGTGGTAGTGGTACCTAGATATAACAGGAAAAATTTAAAGACATTTTCTCACTCATTCAATAAAGCCTAAACATACATCGCTATGTACCGACATGTTTGTAATCACTAATACTGTAAGTAGATAGGTCGTTAGATACTTATTTCATTAGGTTTATATATTTATGTTTTTGAACAGTTCGTTCTTATTTTTATTACGGTTTTTTCCCATTTTAATTTTACGTCGTCCTGTTGCGTAATGTGTATTGTGATCGTAAGCGACACAACTTTCCCCTTCAAAGGCCGAAGCGAAACTGACCGGGCGGCAGGAATCAAGCTTCAAGACGCCGATAGTTTAGGTAATTTCTTTTTACAGTGAAAATAATGTAATAATTTTAATTAAAGTAAATAACATAAACACTGCTTTATAGTCAGTTCAGTTAGTATGCAAAGTTTCATGGTCTTATTTAAAGTATTTTATGAATAACAGCGTTTTATTGTTTATTTTGGAGGTAATTTTGGTTTTTTTTTTCTATTTATGATTATTTTACGGAATCGTGTTTTCGACTAACATAGTCCTTAACATTAATCCTCAACTTTACCATATATTTATTTCAAAATTAATGCTGCAATATTTTCGGAATAACGGAGGATCTTGCTAAGCCATTTGAGGTTATATTTCCCCTTAAGAGATCGGGTTTTGACACTGCAAGAAGTAACAAAAACATTTTTAGCATTAAATCTCATTACTTCTCGTGAGTGTAATAAGGTGTGACAGAGAGAAACCTAAACCGAACTAAAACCAGCCGATAGGTAGCCAAAAAATAAACTACAGCAATTCCCTTATAAGGCAGTCTATGAGGAGGCTTGAGTTTTTCAGTAGACTTAGTAGTAATGAATAACCGAAGGAATAGTTTAATAAATTCAGTAGTGAATGAATTTACAAAAACATTGTTAATAAAAACATTGTTAATAACTTATTCTAATGAGTTAATTGATAGAATCAGGCGTTACTTTGCGGAAATCCATTATAAAGCTTTAGCGGTCAGCCGCCGTAGAGTCGTGTTATCGTCGATGGTGTGTCTTGCCTAGAATAGTGATGTTGGGAGTAGTGGTGCTGGGACTAGTGGTGACGGAGTTAGTGCATGCAATTGAGGGAGGGCGGGAGGTGCTCTTCAATCCAGGTAAGACACATCATTGTATTTGTTTAGCGGAAGGTTGCGAAGAAATTTATATTTTTATTTTTTATTATTCTAATGAGGTTTCATAAATGCAATTTTTATTTTATTAGGGTAATCTACGTGTAAAATAATAAGAACCCCCTTTTACGTAGATAAATTTCTTTAGATGACTGGGCCGCGCGGTACTAAGTATGTGTGGGTAACCGCAAACATTAATAAAAATGACCCATCGCGCTTAAATCCGTGTCGTTAACATAAACTGCCTATGTAACGCCAAAGTTTAAAAAGTAACGCTTTGTCAGTGCTGGAATTTTGCACTAAAATTATTAATGTGCAATTATCTCGGACGCGAAATAATGATGTTGGTGAACATTAGTCACTCAAAAACTAAACTAGCCATTAAAACATTAATATGCGTATCGGCATTATGTTTAATAGGAATACGAACAAAATACACGCGAAAACAACACTTATGATGTCTACTAAAATTTTAAAAGTCTATCTTGCTATTTATAATTAACACTTATAGTTTAAACCATTCAAAAAAGCTTATTTTTTATTAATTTCCTTGTGTCTCAACTTTTTTCTATTAAACTTGCTTCGTCTTAATGTTGCTTCAACAGGAAATGTCCTAAAATTCATTCATACAAGATGTTCTCCGACCGACTTTAATTAATTAAGGTAACATTTATAATATAACCCGACGTTGTCAATTGCGCAGGTACTCGTATAGTGTAGCGCCATTAACATTACCAAGAATACAAAACAATCCAATTTAAATTCGACGTAATGTACATCATAATACCGAACATGAGTAGCGAAGAGATATAATGTAATTTATCTTCTCATTAAGCGTTACTTGTGACCATGTAATTGCAATTGACGTCGCAATTATTTTAAATAATGTTATAATTTTTAGTAGTGGGTCGTTGTAGAATATTTGACGAACGAAACGCAACCGTTTTCCCGCAACGGTTGCAGAAAACGGTCGACGTTGCAACTGTTTTGAAGACGGTTTAATTGACGAAACTTATCCAACATGGAATAGAATTGGATTTTCGTCGTGTGAAATTATTGTGTGTATACTGTGTTATTTACACTTATACTTATAACTACAACGATTTTACTAACGTTTGTAAACGAATGCGGAACTAGACTACAACAAAATGCGGAACGTAAGTACGACGACGCGACGACTGAGATAGATAGTTGTATTATTGCGTTCTAGACTGTATTTTAATAGGCGTAAAATAAAAAATCGCATTAAGTAATTCGTAGACTGGTTTATGCAACGAAAACTGTTTGAACCAAGGACGTAAAACGGTTTCGTCGTCGCAGAACATAATAACGGTTTTTGTAAATCGTTCGTCGTCGCAACACCCACCCCTAATAATTTTTGACCACGTCTCATCATTTAGGTACTCGGCAACAATTTGATATTTTGCAGTCACCTCAGAAATTTTTCTTGTATTTGTTTATTGAGTGAGAAAATAAAAATGTAACTCCCTTGTACCTTCCAAACATAAAACAGTACTATCCTGAATGCGAATATTGTTTAGTCACTCATGCAAATAACATGCATTTTCTTTATTCTTATTAAGCTAGTTTTCAGGGATTTTGACAGTACAGTGTTACTTACCCCAAGGATTGTTTTTTTATAGAATATGGGTGACAAACGAGCACACAGTCCACCTGATGGTAAACGGATGCTGTGGCCCATAGACATCTACATTTATCCTCAATTGAGAATCAAAATGTAGATGCGTTGTCAACTCTGAGAACTGAAATGGAATGCCTCACTTCCAGTAAAAAGAGTCTCCAGTACTTAACACACTCCATACGAA